GAACCCATTTCTTTCCCCAGGCCCTGGCAGCTCTTCCTGTGCCACTCCTGCGCTGCTGTGGGCACTCACAGACGCTGCTCCAACGTGGGGAACAGCCATGAGGCCACATGGGAGTGTGACGGCTGTGCTGGCCCGAGCATCTGTAAGTGTCAAAGCACCCGGGGGCTCTGGGGCTGGGGAAGGCAAGGCAAACCCAGCAGCGGGTGCCTGGTGTGGGCTTGGCAGAGCCTGTCTGCTCCAGGAGGGCTGGGGCAGCGCTCTGGCCTACCCTGCCCCAGGCCTGGGAGCCAAGCCCTTGATGTTCCTGCTTTCCCTTGCAGCCTCCAGTGCCAGCTTAGAGCTTGCTGGTCCCAGCACTGCCAGCCCAGCAGCATCGGGGCAGTCTCCTGGATCTCTGGAACTGGAGTTCAGCAGCCCCAGCCCCAGCAGCCAGGAAGCACCGGGGCAGACTCCTGGATCTCTGGAACTGGAGTCCAGCAGCCCCAGCAGCAGCAGCCAGGAATCACCGGGGCAGACTCTGGAACCTCAGGCACAGGAGTCCAGCAGCCCCAGCAGCAGCAGCCAGGTGGCACCGGGGCAGACTCTGGAACCTCAGGCTCAGGAGTCCAGCAGCCCCAGCAGCAGCAGACAGATGCCATCAGCACCATGCCACAGTTGCCCAGTGTGTGAGGGCAGCGGCCGCTCCAGCCACCCTGGGCCTGACCGACGGCAACACCAAACCCGGTACACCCGTAAGACCCAGACACCCTACACGTGGCTTAGAAGACTGCAGGAGAGAAGCCGACTGCCAGCAACACGCTCTGTGATCAATACCCGCAGCCAGGCGGTGCCAAGGTTGTCCCAACGCTGCACATCACGTGAGACCCGCAGGTGCAGCGCCACCAGAGAGCAGCCATCAGCGGCATCCCGTGGCTCTGCACCGCTGCAAAGAAGCGGGAGCAACAGACGCGGTGGGCCCATGCGGGTGCGAGACCGCTCCCGCGTGCAGCGTCGGGCCCAAGCTCCCTATGCACGGCCCAGAAGACGCTCCCAGGGCAGCCGCACACCAGCAGCACGAGCTGGGAGGAGCCCCCGCAGACAGGCTGCGCCCAGGCTGTCCCAGGGCTCACCAGCACGTGCGAGCCACAGCCGCAGCATCACAAGGCAGCGGCCGTCAGCATCATCCCGTGGCTCCAGAGCACGACAAAGAGGCAGCGCCTCAAGATCCACCGGGCCCGTGCGGGTGCGAGACCGCTCCCGCTCGCAACGCCGGGCCCAAACTCCCAACACGCGGCGCAAAAGACGCCGTTTGAGCAGCCACACGCCAGCACCACGTGCAACCAGGAGCACACGCAGACAGGCTGTGTCGCGGCTATCCCAGCGCTCCCCAGCACGTGCTAGCAGCTGCTGCAGCAGTGACAGTCAGGAGTCATCAGGGAGCAGCAGCTCCAGCACTGACAGCCAGGAGGCTTTATAGCCATGCCACAGTTCCCTGGCACCAGGCACTGGCACTGCAACAATCGGGCCATGCCACAGCTTCCCGCTGTGCTCCCAGTTGAACTGTCACACCCAAACTGCCTACACGCGGCCCAGAAGACAGCAGGAGAGAAGCCAACCGCCAGCACCACGTGGTGAAAGGAGCACCCACAGCCAGGCAGTGAGGGGCTGCCCCAGTGCTCGCCAGTACGCGAGACCAGGAGCCCCAGAACCAGCAGGCATGGGCCATCGGCAGCATCCTCTGACTCCGCGGCACTGGAAAGCGGCAGCAGCTCCATCCCCGCTAGGCCCGCGTGGCTGCGAGACAACTCCCACTTGCGACATCGGGCCCAAACTCCCAGCGCACGGCCTGGACGCCTCAGTGGGACCAACCGTGTTTCACCTTTGAGCGACCACTGTGATCCCCCTCTACCGGCACAATAAAGGTGGCCCTTCATCTCTGGACTGGGAGATTCCAGGCTCCTTGGTTGGCTTCCTCCTCCTCTGCCTTTCTCAAGGGGCAGCATCAGGGACTGGGCCCAGAGCACTGTCCTTCCCCTAGAGGTCAGCAGCACCTCCTGCACACTGACCTCCTGCACCCACCCACCCAGCCGGCCTGGCCCTCACGGCTCACCCCCCAAAATCATGCACCCCGGTGCCAGTGACTTCTGACACGCTTCAGCTCTGTTTCCCCCTGGATAAGGCTATAAGCAATATCCTATCCTCATCGCCTACGTCAGTGGGCACGGTGGCAGAGGGGCAAAGCTGGGGTTCTTTTAAGAGTTCAGTTCAGTGTCACGTCTGTGCAAAGTACTAATTAGGGTAAAAGCTGCTGTTCTTCTTGTGTAAATGTAACTATCACAACACCAAATCTCTTCACTGAACAGGTCTGTGGAGTTCCCTAATCCCAAAGAACTCTCCCGGCTGTTATGCCCAGCTTTCAGCTAGATGAGAAGGGGGTTTTGCCTCTCTCCCTCCCTGCCTCCTGACATCCCTCCCTCTCCCATGCCCCCACAAAATGCTTTGCTATGAATCCTTGTTTGCAGACAAGCCTAAGCATACAGCTCTGGCTGGACTTTTCTCAACAGGCTGCTGAGACGCTTGGCTGAGGAACAGTAGTAAATATTGCACAGTATGTTCCCTAATTCTTCTAAATTTCCTGAACTTTGTCAGCACTTCCACTTATTTGGAAAGAAAACAAAACAGCCTTTCTGAAGGCGCTGAAAGCCCTGCTTTACATGAACAGGTCCTGTTTACGTGCTCTGGAAGGCAACAGCTCTGACTTGCTTTTGCAGCGCAGGCAGAGCGACTGCTGTTGTGGTGTCACACAGAAAGTCTTAGGCTCCAGGACGAAATCTGCAGAGCACAGGGACTGTTGGCTCTTTGTGTGGAGTGACTGACACTGCCAGCGAGGTGGGGGACGAGGAGGGGACTGGAATTCTCAACACCGAAAGATGAGGCCAAGGCTTCCCCTCTAATAGTTACATGGCTCTTTTTGACTCACTGAGTTTACATGAGGTTTACAACAGCGTGTAGTGACAGGACAAGGGGAATGGCTTTAAGCTGAAAGAGGGTAGATTTAGATTAGGTACTAGGCAGAAGCTCTTCCCTCTGAGCGCGGTGAGGCGCTGGCACAGGCTGCCCAGAGAAGCTGTGACTGCCCCATCCCTGGCAGTGTTCAAGGCCAGGTTGGATGGGGCTTGAAGCAACCCGCTCTAGTGGAGGGTCTGATCAAAGGGCACTAGAAACTCCACCTTTTGCAAAATGCTGACCAGCTACATTCACAGACTGAAAAAATCCAGTCGTAGTAAGACTTACAGTGGTGTTTAACAGCATACGCGCAGTAGTCAAGAGTAGAGTAAGAAATTCAGTAAACAAGGCATGCTTAAATTCATAAACTATTCAAGAAAGAGAGTATTATTAAGAAATTAAACATTGATTTTTATATATAGCCCATAAGTTCTATAGGGTCTGGGAATTTATGTCATTACAAAAAGAACCAACAGCAGCACCCCATTTAACCCCGCCCCATTAGTTTCCCCCCTGGCAGGCAGTGCACAACCCAAACAAACCCAATGGCCTCTCTGCAAGGGTTGCCCCAACTCACCACTGGAGACCAGCCAGACCCACTCTGATGAACCTGAAAACAGACAAGAGCCATCAAGTGATGCTGCAAATGAATACAGATGTCACACAAAACACATAAAGCGCTGCCCTGCCAATAGGTGCGGTGATGCTTGCGCTGCAGCGCCTGCGCTAAGAGCTGCAGGAGAACCAGATCTCCATTAGCAAGTGAATAACAACTGTTCAACCCAGCTGCAAGTTTACCCACGACTTTACAGATTGATATAAAATATTTTAGGGCGGATCATGCTGACATCACTTAAGTTCTATGTAGGCATGAACATACGGCCAATATACAGCAAAAGTTGGCTTGCCAATATACAGCAAAAGTTGGTCAGCCTGCAAGCTGGTCATCCTGAAAGGAGACAACTCTTTTAGAGACTACATCACGCTGAACTTGTCCATCTTGCCGGGACTTCCTTGCCCACTGCCACATCCATTTCCCAATAAACTGTCCTTTTAGAAGTTCCACTAAACCCTACAAGACCCTAAAACGTTAATGACAAATTGGGCAGACATCCTTTAATCAACACGTTTGAGCGTTCGCTTGCCTGTTCTCCTTCCAGACCCCTCATTTTCGGGATGGATGGCCCGCAGATATCGATGTCCAGCAGAGCAACCTGGAACACAGCCCAGCCCCCCGCTGGCAGCCGCCTGGAACGCTCCGGCGCACCCACAGCGGGTCCGCAGATCCGAGCGGAGGGCGGCCGCCGCAGCCCCACCCCGTGCCGCCCGCCCCGCGCACCTGCTTGGCCTCGTCCGCCGCCAGCCCGTGAGCCAGGAGCGCGCTGAAGGTGCTCTTGCCCACGCCGCCCTTCCCCGAGAGCACCAGCACCGTGTGCTTCACCGCCCGCAGCCGCGACCGCAGCTCCGACAGCTCCGCTGCGGCAGCCACAAGGGTCAGCGACGAGCAGGCACGACCAGCTCAAGCCCCGCCCCTGCCCAAGCCCCCATAAACTCCGCCACCACAAACTACGCCCCTTACCCAAGCCACGCCCCCACTCCCACAAGCTCCCATAGACTCCCCTTACTACACAGGCCCCGCCCCCTGCACAAGCCCCTCTACACACAAGGCCCGCCCCCCCCCCGCCCAGGCCCCGCTCACCCGGGGCCGGGGCCGGGGCGGCGCCGGCAGCGCAGAGCCCCTGATTGGGGCAGCCCTGGCAGGCGGCGGCCCTGCCCGCCTGGGCGCTGCTGCTCCCTGGGCAATCTGCAACGGACAACGAGGCTAGAGCATGAGTGCGGCCGGCGCGACGGACCGACCGACCGACCGACCGACCGACCGACCGACCGACCGCAAGCTCCCCTCACCCCCCGGCTGCGGCCCACCCGCCGCCTCCGCCATGGCGCCCACAACCGCGTCACTTCCACCCGGAGCCAAAGAGGCGGGGCTCCGAAAGGCCGCCCTGTACCGCGCGCGCATGCGCCGGCGCTACGCGCCGCCGCCAGGGGGCGCTCCGTGGCCGGCTGTCGGCTCTGTGAGAGGCCGGACTCGGGGCCGCCGCTCAGCCGCGGCAGGTACCGGCAGTGCCGGCGCCGGGGGAGCCGCTTCCCCAGCGCCCTTTCGCTGTACCCGCCCCTGCTGCGGTCCTGGGGCGCGCAAACAGGATTCAGTTCAAGGCAGCAGTGCTCATAAGTATTTATAAAACCGTTCCTTGTTCTCAGATAAGACTGTCTTGCAGAAAACACAGATGGACATCTGCAGCAGCTTTTCGAGAAAGGAAGCATTTTCACGCTCTGAAGAGTCACGAGAGAAATAACATTTCATTGACTCTCAAGCCCGGGCAAATTTCGCTTACCGTGACTGGGTTCAGATTTCATTAGTGACTAGAAAGAATGTCATTCCTGACAAGAAACAGAATTGCCGAGCAGCTGTATGAGCCAGAGCTGTTTTGCTCTGGCACCATCTTTTTGCTAGAGGCATCTCTCTGTTAAAGGGATGTATACCCTCCTCTGCACGCCCAAGGCCCAAACTGCCTGTTTCATTGTTATTTTGACTCGGTTTAGCAAAAACACGTTAGTGACATAGTAATTTATTTTGTTCTCCTACATGATGGTGCACTCTAAAATTGCTGGTCCTGCAGCACCTGCAAGTGCGATACAGTGTAAACTGGAGAAGCAGCAATAACAGAACTCTCGAGGCTTATTCTTGTTCCTCAGTAGTTAAAAGCGGAGCAAGAGAGTATGCAGCGAGTTAAGCATCTTCCTGTGTATAGTTAGGGGCTCCTCTGTTATTTGGAAAATATTTTAGGAAAACCAGGCCAAATTAAATGATCCCATGGTTTTACTTTTCGTAAAGCTGCTTTAGATGGAACGGGTTGCCCAAGGAAGTAGTGAACGCTCCATCCCTGGCGGTGCTCGAGGCCGGGCTGGATGGAGTCTTTGGTGGCATGGTTTACTGCGAGACGTCCCTGCCCATGGCAGAGGGCTTGGAACCGGATGATCTTAAGGTCCTTTCCAACCCTAACCATTCTATGATTCTATAAAATAAACGTCTTGTACATTTTTAGGACCCACGGAAAAGTTAAATAGATAGTGATCCCATATAAATGTGAAATTGATTTGAGTCTTTTCAGAGATTGAAGTAAAAAAAGAAAAAAAAGCCAGCATACTGGAATTCAGCGGTAGGACGATTTTTATATGATTGTAAATTGTTACACTTAACCTTTTGGCTAAGGCAGGCCCAGAGTTCCTGCATCTTCTGTTTCAATCTATGCGGATCAGAGCAAGCTCAGTTAGGACGCAGATTACACGTCCAGATGTATATTTGAAACCTTTGGTTTTAAAGTACGGTATTGACAATGTGATATTTCCCTCTTTTCTATGACAATGTCATGTTTAAGATAGTTGAAAATGCTGGGGATTTTAGAGATATCCCTTAGCACAAACAGAACTTGTGAATTTTTTGTGAATGCTTCAGCTTTCAGATCTGTTGGCTGTATCTACGCCAACACTATTCCCATTGTTACAAAGTGTTTTATATAAAAGCTTACAATATTCCCAAATCTGAACCCAATCTCTCCTCTTCTGATATGCTTGATGAAGTGTGCAATGAAGGTATTTTCTCTGGGCACAAACTAAATCAGTACTTCTCCTCAGTACAATACTCAGTCGTCCCGTGTCAGTATACACAACAAAGGCACGAAAGTGACTCTTCCCAATGGTTCTAACTCTGCTTCAGCACTGTTAAGCTATCTGAGCTCGTTAGCTGCCCCTGGCACGTTCTGTTGAGGAGTCTGTGGTGGTTTTTTTCTTTTAAATGTGCTTTTCTTCTTAAGAGATTCCTGGACTATTCCCCACCACCATCTGATGAAAAAATACACCAAACTTGCAAAGTCATAAAACAGTGACCTGCAGCGAAGCTTCAAAAGACACAAACAACCCCTAAACCCAACAAGAGTAAGGGACACGGTAATCTCTGTTAAAAATTTAACAGTAAAAGCTGTCAGGCAGGTCCAAATTAATTTCAGATTTGAGATCTGGGTTGTACTTGTAATCCAAGGATTGCAAGGTATCCTAATGTGACTTGGAACACAGGCCCGCAGACCTGCTCGGGTCCCTGCCTGTGCGCTTCACAGCCAGCCGTGCGATGCAGTGTCCGTGTCACAGTGGGTGGTGTGTGGCCGAGGGTGCCCCTGCCCATACTTGGGGCGCACGCGGGCCAGCGGTGCTCATGTCACAGAGGCCACTGTGACTGGTGCCGGGGGCAGGCCTATAAGAAAGGGAACGCCGGGCACAGTGCATCGCTGCGACCTGCTGAGGTGCGGGGAGTAGAGGGCAGGGACAGGGCTCTCGGGGGCCTGCCGAGGAACGAGGGGGCTCCACACCGCAGGGCTCTGGGCCTGTACTGCAAGCTCACCCGCGTCTCTCTTCTCCCTCACAGGTAGCAGAGGAGCATTTGGAGAAGCAGCCCCAGCGCTGCTGGGACAGGGACTCTCCAAACGCCCACCTTTGATGTCTGACACCTCCGCAAGGAGGTCTAGGACACCCGACTCGATGGAGCAGGGTGAGAGCAAAGTCCCCCTCCTACAGCCTGGCAGAGGGACTCCTGAGGCTGTGAGCATGCACCGGGAGCGTTGGCAGGGGGAGGCAGGAGCTCCAAAGCCACCCTGCGGGAGGGCCGCTCCTCTGCTTGGCAAGCGGGACCAGGGCTGGGCAGTGCGCACCCTCCGGGACACCCATGCCTGCAGTGCCCTTTCCTCTCCAAGGCTTCCAGCCCTGCTCAGCAGCCAGCTAGGCAGGGACAGAGCAGCCCTTGGGGGCAATCCCTCAGGGATGCATCCCTGGCCCCACAGAGGTGCTCATTCTCCGTGGCATTTGCTCTCTCCCCTCCAGCATGCGTGCTGTGTCACCGCACAGAGGCAGCCCCTGACATCTGCGGGCTAAAATGGAATTATGAATGGGGCTATGCCCATGGCTTTTGCCTGGTGAGTTCCTCTGGGGCTGGTTTTATGTTTGCAATACACCTGCCCTGCCACATGCCCCTCATCTGCTCCTTGTCTCTGCTCTTCTGCAGCTTTTTGCCAGTGACCTTCATCCCCAAGGGACCGAAGAGGAAGAAGAGATCGGATTTTCTCTTATGGATGTTCTACTGACAGTCAATCAGGCAGCCCAGATGGTGAGGATCTGAGATGATCAGGGTGACTCGTGCCAGGAGAGGTTTGCGGGAGTTTAGCGCAGATGCCAAGAACAGAATCCCAGATTTTCCACCCAGGTCTGGGACAGAAGTCTTGCTCCCAGCAGCTCCACAGAGGCTCCAGCACAGGAGCCTGCTCTGCCAGGTGGATCTGTGGCCTGTGATCCAGCTGGGGCCACATCCCGCCCCCTGCCCCAAGGTGTGGGTCTGGCTGTGGAGACCCTGAGGCTGCCGCTGATGGGGGCTGCCCTGCTCTTTCCAGGTCTGCTTTGTGTGTGGCGAGAGGGGGGCCACCGTCACCTGCCAGGAGATGGGCTGCGACCGCAGGTTCCATCTCCCCTGTGCCGTGGAGGGTGGATGCATCACCCGTTACTTCCTGCCGTTCAGGTACCCCCTCTACCCTTCTCCCCATCTCCAGGGAAGGACCCAGCGCTTCTCATCTCACCCATGCCTTCCCTCTTCCCCTAGTTCCTTCTGCTGGGAGCACCGCCCACAACAGCAAGAGCTGGCGGCTCCAGAGGACACCAACTGCCTCATCTGCAGGGACCCTGTTGAAGGCAGAACGACCTATGGGACCATGGTGTGCCCAGCATGCAAACATGCCTGGTTCCACAGGGCGTGCATCCAGGTAGCAGTCGTTCCCTTGCTCCGGGCACGGCAGCCTCTCAGCAGCACCGGAGCCTCACTCACGCTCTTTCTGTTTCTCCTGCAGGGACAGGCTATGAGGGCTGGCGCTTTTTGCCTGCGCTGCCCTCTGTGTCAAAATACGAAACTGTTTCTAACAGAAATGCTCCTCATGGGGATCCAAATCCCCATAAGGTTGGTGTCCTCCTGGCCAGCACTGTGCCACGCCTGGACCTGCCCCCGCAGTTGTGGCCCTCTGCTGACCCCCAAGTCTAGGCTTTAGCTCCATGCCGGAGTTGGAAACAGCGTCTGGGGGGAAGAGCGGGGAGGCCCTGCATATGCCTTATGCTGGGGCAGCAGGGGCTCATCCATTTTCCTTTCTCCATCAGACAAGCGGCATGGGAAGACAACAGTGCATACACAGAACTGTACCAGAGGCACAGGAGCTGCGATGCCAGGGAGTGCCTTTGTCCAGGAGGAAGGGAGGAAGTAGAGCCAGACGGGTAAGTTGCCAAAGATGCACCCTGGGGCTCGGCACGGGACCTCTGCCTCAACAAGGGCTCGAAGCAGAAGGGCTGAGAACAAGAGCTCTGCTGGACAATCCCGTGCTGTGGGCACTTTATCCTTAGAGACATGAACCCATTTCTTTCCCCAGGCCCTGGCAGCTCTTCCTGTGCCACTCCTGCGCTGCTGTGGGCACTCACAGACGCTGCTCCAACGTGGGGAACAGCCATGAGGCCACATGGGAGTGTGACGGCTGTGCTGGCCCGAGCATCTGTAAGTGTCAAAGCACCCGGGGGCTCTGGGGCTGGGGAAGGCAAGGCAAACCCAGCAGCGGGTGCCTGGTGTGGGCTTGGCAGAGCCTGTCTGCTCCAGGAGGGCTGGGGCAGCGCTCTGGCCTACCCTGCCCCAGGCCTGGGAGCCAAGCCCTTGATGTTCCTGCTTTCCCTTGCAGCCTCCAGTGCCAGCTTAGAGCTTGCTGGTCCCAGCACTGCCAGCCCAGCAGCATCGGGGCAGTCTCCTGGATCTCTGGAACTGGAGTTCAGCAGCCCCAGCCCCAGCAGCCAGGAAGCACCGGGGCAGACTCCTGGATCTCTGGAACTGGAGTCCAGCAGCCCCAGCAGCAGCAGCCAGGAATCACCGGGGCAGACTCTGGAACCTCAGGCACAGGAGTCCAGCAGCCCCAGCAGCAGCAGCCAGGTGGCACCGGGGCAGACTCTGGAACCTCAGGCTCAGGAGTCCAGCAGCCCCAGCAGCAGCAGACAGATGCCATCAGCACCATGCCACAGTTGCCCAGTGTGTGAGGGCAGCGGCCGCTCCAGCCACCCTGGGCCTGACCGACGGCAACACCAAACCCGGTACACCCGTCAGACCCAGACACCCTACACGTGGCTTAGAAGACTGCAGGAGAGAAGCCGACTGCCAGCAACACGCTCTGTGATCAATACCCGCAGCCAGGCGGTGCCAAGGTTGTCCCAACGCTGCACATCACGTGAGACCCGCAGGTGCAGCGCCACCAGAGAGCAGCCATCAGCGGCATCCCGTGGCTCTGCACCGCTGCAAAGAAGCGGGAGCAACAGACGCGGTGGGCCCATGCGGGTGCGAGACCGCTCCCGCGTGCAGCGTCGGGCCCAAGCTCCCTATGCACGGCCCAGAAGACGCTCCCAGGGCAGCCGCACACCAGCAGCACGAGCTGGGAGGAGCCCCCGCAGACAGGCTGCGCCCAGGCTGTCCCAGGGCTCACCAGCACGTGCGAGCCACAGCCGCAGCATCACAAGGCAGCGGCCGTCAGCATCATCCCGTGGCTCCAGAGCACGACAAAGAGGCAGCGCCTCAAGATCCACCGGGCCCGTGCGGGTGCGAGACCGCTCCCGCTCGCAACGCCGGGCCCAAACTCCCAACACGCGGCGCAAAAGACGCCGTTTGAGCAGCCACACGCCAGCACCACGTGCAACCAGGAGCACACGCAGACAGGCTGTGTCGCGGCTATCCCAGCGCTCCCCAGCACGTGCTAGCAGCTGCTGCAGCAGTGACAGTCAGGAGTCATCAGGGAGCAGCAGCTCCAGCACTGACAGCCAGGAGGCTTTATAGCCATGCCACAGTTCCCTGGCACCAGGCACTGGCACTGCAACAATCGGGCCATGCCACAGCTTCCCGCTGTGCTCCCAGTTGAACTGTCACACCCAAACTGCCTACACGCGGCCCAGAAGACAGCAGGAGAGAAGCCAACCGCCAGCACCACGTGGTGAAAGGAGCACCCACAGCCAGGCAGTGAGGGGCTGCCCCAGTGCTCGCCAGTACGCGAGACCAGGAGCCCCAGAACCAGCAGGCATGGGCCATCGGCAGCATCCTCTGACTCCGCGGCACTGGAAAGCGGCAGCAGCTCCATCCCCGCTAGGCCCGCGTGGCTGCGAGACAACTCCCACTTGCGACATCGGGCCCAAACTCCCAGCGCACGGCCTGGACGCCTCAGTGGGACCAACCGTGTTTCACCTCTGAGCGACCACTGTGATCCCCCTCTACCGGCACAATAAAGGTGGCCCTTCATCTCTGGACTGGGAGATTCCAGGCTCCTTGGTTGGCTTCCTCCTCCTCTGCCTTTCTCAAGGGGCAGCATCAGGGACTGGGCCCAGAGCACTGTCCTTCCCCTAGAGGTCAGCAGCACCTCCTGCACACTGACCTCCTGCACCCACCCACCCAGCCGGCCTGGCCCTCACGGCTCACCCCCCAAAATCATGCACCCCGGTGCCAGTGACTTCTGACACGCTTCAGCTCTGTTTCCCCCTGGATAAGGCTATAAGCAATATCCTATCCTCATCGCCTACGTCAGTGGGCACGGTGGCAGAGGGGCAAAGCTGGGGTTCTTTTAAGAGTTCAGTTCAGTGTCACGTCTGTGCAAAGTACTAATTAGGGTAAAAGCTGCTGTTCTTCTTGTGTAAATGTAACTATCACAACACCAAATCTCTTCACTGAACAGGTCTGTGGAGTTCCCTAATCCCAAAGAACTCTCCCGGCTGTTATGCCCAGCTTTCAGCTAGATGAGAAGGGGGTTTTGCCTCTCTCCCTCCCTGCCTCCTGACATCCCTCCCTCTCCCATGCCCCCACAAAATGCTTTGCTATGAATCCTTGTTTGCAGACAAGCATAAGCATACAGCTCTGGCTAGACTTTTCTCAACAGGCTGCTGAGACGCTTGGCTGAGGAACAGTAGTAAATATTGCACAGTATGTTCCCTAATTCTTCTAAATTTCCTGAACTTTGTCAGCACTTCCACTTATTTGGAAAGAAAACAAAACAGCCTTTCTGAAGGCGCTGAAAGCCCTGCTTTACATGAACAGATCCTGTTTACGTGCTCTGGAAGGCAACAGCTCTGACTTGCTTTTGCAGCGCAGGCAGAGCGACTGCTGTTGTGGTGTCACACAGAAAGTCTTAGGCTCCAGGACGAAATCTGCAGAGCACAGGGACTGTTGGCTCTTTGTGTGGAGTGACTGACACTGCCAGCGAGGTGGGGGACGAGGAGGGGACTGGAATTCTCAACACTGAAAGATGAGGTCAAGGCTTCCCCTCTAATAGTTACATGGCTCTTTTTGACTCACTGAGTTTACATGAGGTTTACAACAGTGTGTAGTGACAGGACAAGGGGAATGGCTTTAAGCTGAAAGAGGGTAGATTTAGATTAGGTATTAGGCAGAAGCTCTTCCCTCTGAGCGCGGTGAGGCGCTGGCACAGGCTGCCCAGAGAAGCTGTGACTGCCCCATCCCTGGCAGTGTTCAAGGCCAGGTTGGATGGGGCTTGAAGCAACCCGCTCTAGTGGAGGGTCTGATCAAAGGGCACTAGAAACTACACCTTTTGCAAAATGCTGACCAGCTACATTCACAGACTGAAAAAATCCAGTCGTAGTAAGACTTACAGTGGTGTTTAACAGCATACGCGCAGTAGTCAAGAGTATAGTCAGAAATTCAGTAAACAAGACATACTTAAATTCATAAACTATTCAAGAAAGACGGTATTATTAAGAAATTAAACGTTGATTTTCATATATAGCCCATAAGTTCTATAGGGTCTGGGAATTTATGTCATTACAAAAAGAACCAACAGCAGCACCCCATTTAACCCCGCCTCATTAGTTTCCCCCCTGGCAGGCAGTGCCCAACCCAAACAAACCCAATGGCCTCTCTGCAAGGGTTGCCCCAACTCACCACTGGAGACCAGCCAGACCCACTCTGATGAATCTGAAAACAGACAAGAGCCATCAAGTGATGCTGCAAATGAATACAGATGTCACACAAAACACATAAAGCGCTGCCCTGCCAATAGGTGCGGTGATGCTTGCGCTGCAGCGCCTGAGCTAAGAGCTGCAGGAGAACCAGATCTCCATTAGCAAGTGAATAACAACTGTTCAACCCAGCTGCAAGTTTACCCACGACTTTACAGATTGATATAAAATATTTTAGGGCTGATCATGCTGACATCACTTAAGTTCTATGTAGCCATGAACATACGGCCAATATACAGCAAAAGTTGGCTTGCCAATATACAGCAAAAGTTGGTCAGCCTGCAAGCTGGTCATCCTGAAAGGAGACAACTCTTTTAGAGACTACATCACGCTGAACTTGTCCATCTTGCCGGGACTTCCTTGCCCACTGCCACATCCATTTCCCAATAAACTGTCCTTTTAGAAGTTCCACTAAACCCTACAAGACCCTAAAACGTTAATGACAAATTGGGCAGACATCCTTTAATCAACACGTTTGAGCGTTCGCTTGCCTGTTCTCCTTCCAGACCCCTCATTTTCGGGATGGATGGCCCGCAGATATCGATGTCCAGCAGAGCAACCTGGAACACAGCCCAGCCCCCCGCTGGCAGCCGCCTGGAACGCTCCGGCGCACCCACAGCGGGTCCGCAGATCCGAGCGGAGGGCGGCCGCCGCAGCCCCACCCCGTGCCGCCCGCCCCGCGCACCTGCTTGGCCTCGTCCGCCGCCAGCCCGTGAGCCAGGAGCGCGCTGAAGGTGCTCTTGCCCACGCCGCCCTTCCCCGAGAGCACCAGCACCGTGTGCTTCACCGCCCGCAGCCGCGACCGCAGCTCCGACAGCTCCGCTGCGGCAGCCACAAGGGTCAGCGACGAGCAGGCACGACCAGCTCAAGCCCCGCCCCTGCCCAAGCCCCCATAAACTCCGCCACCACAAACTACGCCCCTTACCCAAGCCACGCCCCCACTCCCACAAGCTCCCATAGACTCCCCTTACTACACAGGCCCCGCCCCCTGCACAAGCCCCTCTACACACAAGGCCCGCCCCCCCC